TGACCCTAAGACCTTTACAATCATACGCCGTTGCCGTCATTAGGTTTTGGGTTTTGCTTAGATTAATCTGTCAAGAACAGTTCGTTGTTCATCGGTTTGTGAGACCCCAACTTCGCGAGATTAATCATTAATCTGTAATTTGATTGCTTTCTTTCTTGTTCTTGTTTGTGTTCTTCATTGCACAGGCAGGGATGAGCCTACTTGGTGAAGTCAACCGGATCCGTGTCTCGGTTGATAACTAGATGAGTTATGGTGCTAAGATTGCAGGGTTCGATCTTTCGATCTGAAGCCGGATCGGTGTGTCATTCTCCACCACAACGATAGTTATCACAACCTGACGGAAGATCAGGATCCCCGTCCCCATTAGGGAGAGCTATACCCTTTACGTAGGTGCTCCAACGGGGACTAGTGTGGGGACTGCAGGCTCTCTGATACTTCAAAAAACATCACTATGTTCCTATCCCTCTCTTTACATTAAGCATTTACATTTGCAATTACTTTCATGTCTTTACATTACTAGAATTTATGCCAATGTAGGATTAGAGCTAGGTTGTAAAACTCTTGTGCGTATTACAGAAACACTATTAGACAGAAGGGGTGAAATGAGCTAAGTGTTAGGTTTTAATTTTATGAGAATTTTAGATTAGCCCAATTCATCTCGTCTCTTGGCACTTGATTCTTTAAGTCATAACACTTGGTTCTCCAACTTCAAAACACAATGTATCCTTCAGTCGTTAGGTCTTCTTTTTGCTTTTGGCCAGGTACTTTTACCTAATGTTTGTGTCCCCACCCTTTACTTTGTAAGTATGTATTTGCATCCTTTTAATAAAAAATTGACATACAGTGGGAAACTCCCCCATAGTTTTCACCTTTAAAAAACATAGAGGGGCAGTTACATTAGGACTCGAGAAAATTTCCTCAATGCCATCAAAAGTTATAACCATTCCTTATATGCCACTAGAAAATATGGATCTTCCTTGTTGCCATCAATATAGATTTTGAATCCCTTGTGTGCCCTTGCCATGAGTTTTAAGCGTCACGTCCTTAAAAACTTGTGAGCTACTACATATATCTTCTATTTTTAGAGTCATTTATCTGTGTGCCATTATAAACGATAGTCGTGGACTACATGCCACTAAAAAGTTCAAGCGCACTTAGGTGCCACTGTCCGAAACTTTTTTTGTTGCACGAGCCATCCTGTCCATCTTTTCATCTAACAATGCCAAATTGCATTGGAAAATGTCTAAACTACCCTCGGATCTGCTGGTGTAAGTGCATAGGATCTTTTAATCTTAGCCACAGATCTAGAGACAAAAGGTGGAGGTCCATTGCCAGTATAAGTGTATTTTGAAAGTATTTCTGAATTTATTTTTCTAAAGGAAAAGAATATTCAAGTATATCTGAAGGAAGCATTTATGAAGGCCATGGTCCATGGAGGGGCCACTTCCTGTCTCCCGTGTCACGTCCGTTCTCCCGTCTCCCTCGCACTCTCTTCTTGAATCCTGCACGCATGGAGCAGCGGAGGCTATGCGGCCCGTCTCGTGTGGCAATGGCGGCAGGATTGCATGGCGGCGGCGGGGGCGCGTGCGCGGCGTCTGCGGAGGGGTGCGTGCCTGGCTGCGCGCCGAGCAGAGGCACCGTGGCAACAACACGGGCGCACAGCGGTGGCGGTGCTCGGTTGGGAGCTCGTCCTCACGACATCGGCGTGCGGCAAGGGAGGTGGCCACCGCTCGATGGCGGCGGCGCGCGTCCGCGTGGTGGCGGCCCGACGGCTCGCTGGACCGGGCGCGCTGGACCCTGGCCACCGCGTGGCACGCGGGCAAGCTCCACCCCAGCCACTGCAACAGCGCGTGGACGAGCTCACCCCGCTGCGTCAACTCCAGCACCCCGAACGTCATCTCTGGCATTACCTTGGGTGACGAGGTGCCGACCGCGCTCCCCTTGTGCTGTCGTGCTTTTCCCGGCCATCCGGTCGCCTCACGCTCCTCTTCTTGAGGAGGAAGAAGGTGCAGGGGTCACTTAAAATTTGGTCTCACCGGATAGAGAGAGATAGAAGTGAGAGGACATGGTCGTGAGAGAATGGTATTTTCGATATTATATTGTCACTTGCCAGCCCATATGTCAAGGCTGTCAAACGGTGGAAACCTAACAGAAGATGGACGGAATGGCTTCTGCGACAAAAAAGTTTCGACCTGTGGTATCTGGGTGCGCTCGAACTTTTTAGTTGCTGGTAGGTCACGACCATCTTTTATAATGATAGTAAAAGACGTTTTTTTTACCCTTGGCATTATTTATCAAAACAAGAGTTTTTTAATCCAAAAATCCATTTATCCCCAAAGTCAAGTCAGCACTCTGCATGGTCGATCCGCCTGCATGTGCCCCCTCCTAATTTCTACCCTCTCCACTCGATCTGGCCTCGTGCACCTCGATTCCGCCCGTGCCCTCTCTCCGATCAGAGTCGTGTGCATAGAGGTTGGGTTCCTGTAGATCGATTATGCGAGCATGACCACGCCCTACAGCCACCCCAAACAACCCCCCAACCCCTATGGTCACATCAACGTGCCCTCCTACCGCTCGTTCTCTCGTGCACATCTTTGGCTTCCTCCGCCGCCTCCGGACCATTGTTAACCCGCTTCCGCACTGTGCCAGGTGTGGAGGCAAGGCGTCCGGAGACGGCGTGCGTGCACGGACGGCGAGCGCCGCCGTGCGTTCATGGCACAGCACGCGTGAGCAACGAGTAATCGGTGGCATTTAGTGTGAGGGAGGCTGGCCATGGCGCAAGTGCATAGACGACCAGTGCGGCCTGGCGTTAGAGGAGCGCATACGCAGATGGCGAGCGCGGCCGGATATTCACGGCATGTATGGGCGGCGGCAGATAGAGCGAGGGAGGCTAGCGATGGAGCGCATGCACGGATGGCGAGCATGCCTTGCGTTCGTGGCACTCTCGGGTGGTGAGGAGGCTGTACTGCGAGAGTGGCCTGGCGTTCGCGGCATGTGTGCACGGACGGTGAGTCGCCCGGCATTAGCGGCACGCGCGGGTGGTGGCGGATAGAGTGGGGAAGGCCGGTGATGGGCTAGTGTGGCCTGCGGTCGTGGCACGCATGGGTGCCAACCGCTCAATGGTGTCGAGCGTGGGGGAGACGAGGTTGCCTGTTGCCGACGATGGCGCGCGTGCGAGGACGGCCCAACGGTTGAGGATGCGTGGGCGGCAAGCGCTCGGTGGCAATAGGTGCGCAGGAGGGGGGTGCGAGGCTAGGCGGGCGACAGGCGTCGAGCACCAGGGAGGCGGCCATGGTTCTTACAGTGTGCATGGTGGAGATTCAAAAGTAACGACAATGGCATATAGGGAACAAAAATTTTAAATCAATGACAAAGAGGTCAAACTCTAATTTTCAATGGCATATAAGAAAAATATAGATTTTGATGGTATTGAAAAAAATTCTCCTAGGCATATTGAAAGAAAGGAATAAAGTCGGTATCGAAAGAATAAAAAGAGAAATAACTATTAGATGAAAAATACAAACTAGGCTCAACAAATAGGTTCTCTAAGAGCATCTCGAAGAGTTTGCTATCTCAACTTGACATCCATATAATTTTGGCAAAACAAGAAAAAATAGCCTCCAACAGTTTGTGAAAAAATAGCCTCCAACAGTTTGGTAAAACAACTTGGCATCAATAGCAACTTGGCAAATCTTACCTTCGCGCGCGCAAATATACGCGCGCGTATATGGCTTGGCATCCGGGGCTCTTCGTTCGCTTAGCGGGGTTCTTCGTTTTGTTAACGGGTTTTTTTTATTTTACCAAGTCAAAAATGCCAAACTCTTGGAGATTGACTGTTTTTTTACTTGGCATATAATTTTGGGAGTTGACAAATCACAAGATTTATCAAGTAAAATTTGATAAACTCTTGGAGATGCTCTAATAGCCTTATACTAATCAATGGTAGCAACTACTCCCTCCGCTTTTTTTCATATACACGTGATATTAGTTGTCCAAAGTCAAATATTTCTGTTTTATCATCAATTTTTTTAAAAATTGTATTAGTTAACGACGTAAGATTTATGTTTTTAGATTCACTATAGAAAATACTTTTATAATATATAGTCCATACGTCTTGAAATTATATAGATTTTAAAAAAAATAATGATCAAACATAGAAATATTTGAATACGATATGTAAAGAAAAGAGGAGTATAACTATTACCATTAATGGATCTTAAATCTAACCGATAATGGATCGGCGGACGGTACGATACAGACGAATTATTGCATGTATGAATTGCTTAATTGTTAGTCTGAATATATAAACACATTAGTTTCAGGTTCTACTACAAAGAGACACGATCGTCCTATACAGATATAAAAAGAAGATCTCCCTTCATAACGCGCTGATCGTTGCTGGAAACATTTTCATAAGTCAAAAAGTATCTTTAAAAGAGGTTATATGGTAGAGGCGTAGATGGAGGTTTCTTTTAGATGCAACCCAAAATCTTTAAATTTTTCAAGCTGCCGAGGTTATATGGTAGAGACGTAAAGAGCGAAAAAAAAAAATAATTCTGCTTGTTAAGTAGAGAAATCGTGAGAGGAGTGACGAATCTTTTAAACCTAAATAGTCCATAATTAGATAATTTTTACCAAATACAAACGAAAGTGCTACAGTAGTCAAAAGCCAAAAATTTTCGGAACTAAACGGGGCCTTAGCTAGAACTAACACAATTGTTGCGTAAATCTAGAAAGATTTGTGGATCCCCCTATGCTGAAAATGGATCGAATGGACACTGGCATGTGGGGTAGGCATGCAGCCGAATATGGAAATCGAGAGCTGGAGTGTCTCGCGAGTCAGCCGTGACGTGCCCGTGCCGTGCGTGCGTGAAAACAGCAAAGAAGTGCATCAGCCGACTGGCCACATCCATTTCCATTGACTTCGCCAAACTTCCTCGGGGGTTGCTCCATCTCCATCCGTTCTCCAGTCCAGTCCAGTCCCCACTCCCCCGTGCTCAATGGAGCCCAAGCCCCCGCCGCCCGACCCCACCTCGCCCTCCTCGCCGCCGGCGACAGGCCCCGCTGTCGCCGCCTCTGAGGGTTCTCCGGCGGGCGGCGACGGCGGGGCGGAGGGCGACGAGGCGGGGGGTTTCAGCGCTGGGCTGGAGCCACTATGGTCGCTCCTCTTCGGCGACCCAGCGGAGCTGGAGCCCATGTGGTCGCCGCCGAGGGAGTTCGGTGTCGGCGCGGAATTCGCCGCCCCGGACCCGGAGGCGGAGGCCGATGTGGACGACGCGGAAGGGCCCTGGGACGGCGCGCCCTGGAGGTCCACCGGGGTCGTCGCCGGCGAGGGCCCGGCCACGTGCACGACGACGCTGCTGAACCCCACGCAGGCAGCCGGGTTCTCCGAGTTCTCGATCGCCGCCTCCGATACCACCACGGCAATTTCCCAGGGAGTCGTGCTAGAGGTCATGCCGATTCATTCCGGCCCCGATTCTTATTCACCGGTGCCGTCGCCATCGTGCTCCCCAATTCCGGTGGCTTTAGAGGAGCGTGCGCCTGTGGTGATCCCCGGATGGGAGCCTGCGCTGCCGCTAGCAGTGGCTTCTTCGGAAGCCAAACTAGAAGAGGGAACTCTCGAGTGCACCCTCAACTCAGTGCCTTCTTCAGATCGTCCTGATTTGGGGGCAGAGGACGGTCCTAAGGATTGGTCCTCCTTACTGAAAGTTTCCTCAGGATCCATGCCAGTTATTGATATGGCTGCGACGGAACGTCCTGGGGACAATGCTGCTAACTGCAGTATGTGTAAGTCAGATATGGCTACTGGAGATGGCACACCGCTCCAAAGATCTCCAAGGATTGTGGCAATCAAGACCAAAGCAGATGTCGCATCTTTGGAACAGGAAATAGAATCATCTAGAGCTTCCAAGCACCGCCTAGCAGTTTCTCGGCAGAGCAGCATTAGCGAAGGGAGCCAACAACCTGTATGTGCTAGGTTATTTGAGGAGACCACTGTTGCTTCAGGAAAACCAGTTCGCTTGATCAATGGGGTCAAGCCGCAAGGATCACCAGAGATTATTGCCATACACAGCTCCTCTACCGATGTTGTGGTGGCTTTACCAGTGGTGAGTAAAAGGTCCTTGAAGAATAAAGTAGTGTCAATCAAGACCAAAGCAAATGCCACATCTTTGGAACAGGAAATAGAATCATCTAGAGCTTCCAAGCACTGCCTAGCGGTTTCTCAGCAGAGCAGCATTAGCGATGGGAGCCAACAACCTGTATCTGCTAGGTTATTTGAGGAGACCACTGTTGCTTCAGGAAAGCCAGTCCACTTTCCCGATGGGGTCAAGCCGCAAGGATCACCAGAGAATGTTGCCATACACAGCTCCTCTACCGATGTTGTGGTGGCTTTACCAGTGGTGAGTAAAAGGTCCTTGAAGAATAAAGTAGTGTCGTCTTCTCCAAGGAAGACTAGATCATCCTCAAAGGTGGTGGTGAATTCCAACAGGGTATCAGCTGTTTCGCCAGTGATGAATTGTGTGCCTGCTGTGCATAAAGCCAGTTCTAGTATACCTCCTAGGAAGCATAAGCTTGCTTCTGAGAAGTGCTTGCCCAATTTGGAGAGAGTGGATGCTGTGTTACACAACTCTGGATTAATGAGTGCTAACAAAGCGGTCCATGGGATGCCCCTAGAGGTAGAGGCAGCATCATCTCAACCTCCAAAGGCAAAGCAGCCCAGGATATCCTTAGGGAAATGTTCATTGAGTTTGAAGAGGACAGAGAACAGTAGTAGCTCAATCTGTGAACTACCAATGGTCACAGTGACCTCAGCTCCGGAGGATAAACCGACCTCAGCTCCAGAGAATAAACCATTGGATACTCACTGTACTGATTCTGAAATGGTGGATAGCATGGATGGTTCCTATTTCTTTGTGGGTGATGCAGTGCCTGATGAGGAGGCTCAGAAGAGATGGCCTCACCGCTACCGGAGCAATCATTGCCTTCTGAAGAAGGTAGGCATGCGGTTTAACTGTTACTGCTCTCTTCATGGATGCATCATTATATAGTTTATTTAAAATATGAGAATGAGATTTTTTTTTCAAACCATTAAGATCAACGGAAATACAGAGTTTTTGTAGACTGTTTCAAATCATTCAGAAAACAAGACATGCAAGACTGGGCAGACTTACGACAACTACCTAATTTGAGCGTTTCCTGCATAGACAAAGAAACAAACCAAAAGAAGCCATATCGGCAAACAGACCACCAGTCCGGACTCATTAATGAGTCGGCACCTATTACAGAAACAGATAAACTGCTAAAGACAGGGTGAGCTTGTGGAGAGCTCATCATCCATTCCTTTTTCATTCCTGCGCATTGTCTTCGGGAATGAGATATGAAGTATTACAGATTGATAATGGAGAAATGACTCTTTGAAAGTCTATCAAATATTTTGCCATCTACGTAGAGTAGAAGTAACTGTTTACAAAAACAACATTCATCTTTTTATGACACAAAAGAAACTCGACCTGCAGGGGCAGGTCGAGAAAACCCCCTAACCTCTGCCCCACCCATACACAGCAGCACCATAGCCCATGTGAGAACAACCATGACCGTGGCTGGGCCTTAGACCTGTGCGAGGGGATTTTTTTTAACCCCAGCCTGAAAATTCGCTCCCATGGGGTACTCAGGCCACCTAACTAACTCACCTAGAGGCCCTTTCGCATAAGTTGGCTTTAATTTACTTTACCAACTCAGGTCACCTAACCAACCCAGCATGAAAGTTTATTGTAATAAAGAAATGTCTTAACGCCCTAAAATATCTGCTGCTTTAATTTAATAACTATTGGTCTATAGATGCGGAGAGCATTAATCTATCTATGTGCTCCAGAATACATTATAATTGCATTTCTGTAGACGACAGCCAAGATATTTTGCCTAACATATATAAATTGGAAGTCAGAATTGGAGTCAAAGAGAAGTTTCAACTTCAACTTAAAGAAAATAAAATAATGACCTAATTGCAGGTTTTGAGGCTTTACTGTGTGTGCAGATGGGGACTTAGAAATTACTGATATGTCTGGATAAGGTTTCCAAAAAAACTAACAGCAATTTTAACATGACTATACGGACAGATGAATAGTGTTAAATTCATTCTATTTTAGGCACTTCTCATGAGGTTGAATAGATGATAAATTTAACAGAAGAATGACCGGGATTCAATTTAGGTCTAACAGGAAAACAGAGACTTGCTAAAGAATTGTCATAAAAGCTGTAAGAAACAAATATTTGTATTTTTATGCACAATATGTAATGTTAGAGCCAATTTAAGTTACTTGTTGTAAAAGCAGTAAGAAACAAATATTTATCTCTAGTTACGTTCAAAAACAAATATTTATCTCTATGCTCAACAATGTTATTTTAGAATCGAGGAATGCTCGATAGTCAATTTGCATGTGACAGGAAAACAGAAAACTATCAAAGAATTAGTATGAACAGACAGGAAGAAACTAATGATTTCTCTTTTATGTGCCATAATGCTATCTTGCAATTAGTTTACCTGCACATATGTGTGCTACATTAGGGGTCTGGTAGCGCATACACACATCTGTGTCACCATATAAGAAGTCGAGTAGCAGGTCCTCATATGAAACTTATATCTTTCATTTTGCAAATATTACGACCTTCGTAAGAATTGGCATCATTGAAGTAACCTATTTCACTTGTGGCTTCTTTGTTTGAAGGATAAGAGGAGCAATACCCAAACAGTTTCCAAGTGAGCAAAAAAATGCATTAACTTTTAAAGCTCAGTGTGTACATCTGTTGAAGAATTGAAGTTACTCATGATAAATGTTCTACGTTTACAGTGCTGGCAAGGCTGTCGTGGATGTCAAATGCCACTATTTGGAAGCTAGTATATGTGGCTCAACTTTATGTATTGGGGATTGCGCATTTATTAAGGTGAGTTAAGATTTTTTATGTCCAGCTTTCTTCTCGATACCTCTGGCCTACTTTGTCTTCATTTGAGGACTTCTCAGCTAATTTATAGTGCTCACAAGTAATCAGAAAATTATTGATCAACCTCATGTTGCCCGTATGTGGATTTGTGTATGTTGGCTATCATGTTCATGTGTACTCCCTCTGTCCCTAAATAACTGTCGTTCTCGCTTCCCAAGGAGTCAAACTATTTCTATTTTGACCAAATATATGCAAGGAAATATTAATTTTTGTAGTGCATAATTAGTATCGTTAGATAGGTCATTGAATCTATTTTCATAATAAACTTATTTGAAGATACAAATGTTGTTAATATTTTCTACAAACCTAGTCAAACTTAAGAAAGTTTGACCAGCACGAATACCATAGCGACACTTATTTAGGGACGGAAGGAGTATGTATATTTATCTATATCTGTTGCTTGATTGCAAACTGTAGCTTGCATGATTATTGTGTTGTGTAGTATAAAACAGTGTTTACCTTGATATCACATGATTTACTGTTGCATAACTTTAGTATGGTTAATATTTGCAGGGTCTAGAAGGAAAACCACATTATATAGGCAGGTTATTAGAGTTTTTTGAAACAACTGCTGATGAATATTACTTCACTGTGCAGTGGTTTTTCAGATCTGAAGACACAGTGAGTTTGGTTCTCCTAACCTTTTGTCCTAGAAATTATGCATGCCTAAAGAACATGAGATCTTGTAAGGAAACCTGAATTAATGAAACATAGCTTCATGTTTCAGCTTTGAAAGAAGAGATGGCTCGGGAAAACTCAGTAGCTTGATTATGGAGGTACCAAATGAGTACAATATATAGGCAATGATTGTCAAGGGTTTATAGAAACACCCAATCAACGGTGATCTTTGCCTAAACCAAGATCATCTACCATAAAAACCTCAAGGGGCGCCTACAGCCCAAGCCCAGGGCGTCACAGCCCATACAACAATGCTAATAGCCCATAATATAGCAGTCTAACACGCCCCCGCAGTCTGATCATCGCCACCGCGCACGTTCAGGCTGGACCTGAACTCTGTGAAGACCAAAGATGGAAGACCTTTGGTGAAGATGTCCGCATATTGGGATGAGGTTGGCACATGCAGGACATGAACATTACCAGCAGCAACCTTCTCCCGAACGAAATGGATGTCAATCTCGATGTGCTTGGTGCGCTGATGCTGAACCGGGTTGGAAGACATGTAGACGGCGCTAATGTTGTCACAATAGACCAAAGTAGCACGCCGAAGGGGGGCATGGAGCTCGATCAAGAGCTGACGCAGCCAAGAGGCCTCAGCAACACCATTGGCCACCGCACGGTACTCAGCTTCAGCACTGGATCTGGAGACTGTATTCTGACGCTTGGAGGACCAGGAGACGAGATTATCACTGAGGAACACAGCGTAGCCCGAGGTGGACTTGCGCGTGTCAGGGCAACCAGCCCAATCAGCGTCAGTGTAGACCACAAGATCAGTGGCAGGAGATGGCCGCAATAGTAGACCCAAGTGGAGAGTGCCCCGAACATAGCGAAGGATGCGCTTGAGTGCTGCCAAGTGTGGTTCCCATGGGTCGTGCATGTGAAGGCAGACTTGCTGGACAGCATAGGCGATGTCAGGCCGTGTGAAGGTCAGATACTGTAATGCGCTAGCAAGACTTCGATAATCTGTTGCATCAGCCACAGGAGGACCATCAGCAGCTGCAACCTTGGGGTTTGTGTCGACTAGAGTAGAACACGGCTTACACTTAGCCATCCCAGCACGGTCCAAGATATCCATCATATACTGCTGCTGTGAAAGGAAGAGACCGTCACCACACTGCTGAACATGCATACCGAGAAAGTGATGCAGTTTGCCAAGATCCTTCATTGAGAACTCCTGTTGGAGGGCCGAAATGATCCGCCGAAGGAGACCCGGGGAGGAGGCTGTGAGGACGATGTCATCCACATACAGGAGGATATAGGCAATATCTGAGCCGTGCCTATAGATGAAGAGCAAGGTGTCTGACTTGGCTTCGACAAACCCGAGAGACAACAGAAAAGTGGCGAACCGACTGTACCACACGCGAGGAGCCTGCTTCAACCCATATAAGGACTTGTTGAGCTGACACACGAAGTCCGGGTGGGTGGGATCCTCAAAACCAGACGGCTGTACACAATACACTGTCTCTGACAAGATGCCATGTAGGAAGGCATTCTTCACATCGAGCTGGTGCACGGGCCACTGGTGAGACAGGGCCAGAGAAAGCACGGTGCGAACTGTGGCAGGCTTCACAACTGGACTGAAAGTCTCCGAAAAATCCACGCCAGGCCGCTGAGTGAAGCCGCGAAGGACCCAGCGTGCCTTGTACCGCTCAAGTGACCTGTCGGCGTTGAACTTGTGCTTGAAAATCCACTTCCCGATGACCACATTAGCCCGAGGGGGGCGGGGAACAAGATCCCATGTGTGGTTTTGGAGAAGAGCAGCATGTTCTTCCTCCATAGCATCACGCCAATTCGGATCGGCGAGTGCGCTGCGGAAGGTCTTGGGCACTGGAGACAGTGGCGTAGCATGATAGAGAGCAGGAATCCGGAAGCCGGTCTTCGCGCGCGTGGCCATGGGGTTCTGGTTGATCACTGGGGGGACAGCAACAGCACCCTTAGGCAGCGGCGCAGGTGCAGCAGCTGACTGAACAGCAGCTGGGCGCTCAGCAGCTGGGCTCTCCCGGCGCGGCGTAGGGGCAGCAGCTGGCTGAACAACAGCTGACTGAACAGCAGCTGGGCGCTCAGCAGGTGGTCGGACAGCAGCGGGGCGCTCCCGACGCGTGTAGACGTGACGGACTGCGGGCACCGGGAAGACGGGCAGCGGCGGGAAACCGGGCGGAGGTCCGCGTGGCTCGGCCAAAGCTGCAGGTGACGGCGAGGTCGAAGAAGTCGGTGCCGCACGTGGCCGTGCAGGCGATGGTGACATTGTAGCCGCACGTGCGTCGTTTGTCGCGGCGAAAGCGGCGGGGGAGGCCGCGTGGTGTCTGCGGCGAACGGGGAGGCGGTCAGAATCGGTGGATCTGGTGGGGCGCGCATCAAGCGCCGCTTGAACCAACCAGTCATCATCGGTGTCACCGCCGCCCGACGTGGTCAGGCGAGTGTCGAAGCGACCAAAGGCTGCAGATAGAAACTTATGTGCTGGTCCGATAGGAGCCGACACATAGTCAGTAATGTCCAAAAAATCAAAGTCTGCTGGGGATGGAGTGGAGGCATGCTCAGCATAGGGGAATGCTGACTCGTCAAAGACGACATGACGAGAGATGATAACTCTATTGGAAGAGAGAAGGCAGCGGTGTCCTTAATGATGAGCTGAATATCCCAGGAAGACACACAAGGTGGATCGAGGGGAAAGTTTGTGGGGAGCTGTGGCGGACAAGTTGGGATAACAAGTGCAGCCAAAAACGCGTAGGTGATCATAGGAGGGTGCTGTGTCGAAGAGGGCGAAGTGCGGGGTGGATGAGCTCAGCGTTTTGGTGGGCAAGATGTTAATGAGATATGTGGCTGTCTGCATAGCTTCGACCCAGAATGAGGGTGGTAGGGAAGCCTGGAACAGTAGGGAGCGAATCACATTGTTAATGGAACGAATGATACGCTCGGCCTTACCCTTCTGGGCGGAAGTGTATGGGCACGACATGCGGAGGCGAACACCATGGGTAAGGAAGAACGTGCAGGAGCTGGAGTTGTCAAACTCATGACCGTTGTCGCACTGAACTGCCTTGATGGTGGTGCCGAACTGAGTGGACACAAGGGCAAAAAGTGAGCGATTGTCGGAAAAGCGTCAGATTTCAACTTTAGAGGAAACGTCCATAAATAATGTGAACAATCATCAAGAATAGCCAAGTAATATTTATAGCCCGAGACACTAAGAACAGGTGATGTCCACAGATCACAATGTATCAGATCAAATTTATTGGACGCTCGAGAAGTTGACAAATGAAATGGAAGACGCACATGACGACCTAATTGACATGCATGACAAGCAGTAGTAGTATCATGACGACAAGTGGGAAGACTCGACGCAAGCTTGGAGAGGGCCTCGTGTCCAGGATGACCGAGGCGGCGATGCCAAAGTGAAGACTCGGTGGCGGCGACCAAGGATTGAGCAGCTGGCAGCCGAAGAGAGTACAACGGTCCGGAGCTATTGCACCTGACGATCACGTTCCGAGACAGAAGATCCTTCACAGAACACCCAGTCGGGTCAAACTCAACAGAACAATTGTTATCGATAGTGAACTGGCGAACATAAATTAGGTTCTTAATAAGTTGTGGGGAAACCATCACATTATTAAGACGTAAAGACGGTGAAATAACTGTAGAGCTAGTGGATGTAACGGGGAGTAAGGATCCGTTACCGACAACAATGGACGATGGAGTAGGATACCGCGAAGAAGTAGTATGTGAAAGCGAATCGGAATGTGAGGACACGTGAGAGGTTGCACCTGAATCGAAGTACCAGTCATTGTTGTTTTGTGGCTGCTGCAGCGTCATGGTGCTGAATGTCGAGGCCAGAGATGCCTGATCCCATGTAGGAAGTCCGGCGTGCTGTTGGTAGTAGCCGGGGGGTGGTGCAGTCCAAGACCCGGCATTCTCCATGACCGGGGTAGGCACAGCATGCTGTTGAAGAGTCTGCTGGGCCAGCAGAGCGTGCTGAGGGGTGCCAGGAGTGGTGCAAGTGGAGGCCGCTGCCCAGGCTGTGGTCTAGGCCACATTTGGATGGCCCCGGCCCACGGGCGGTAGAAGGTGGGCCATGGCGCGCCCCTGGAGCCGGGGCTGCCAGGCTTAAACTGTCCACCAAAGGGCGCGCTGGACTGGGCACCTGGCTGCGTACCAGTGGGCGACGGGTTGCCACCAGCGCCGGCCGCCGCGTTTTCCGCGGCGATTCTTGGAGGGAGCAGAGCCACCCCCGGAGCTTGCGCTGGAGGCTGCAGGCTGCTTGACAACAGGAGGACGCGACGGGGCTGACGTAGTGGTGGAAGCGGCAAGCGCTGTCGATTGAGACGACGACGTGTTCTCCATCGTCAGCTCCTCCAGGAGGAGGTCAGCCTTCATGTCCAGGAACGTGGGGAAGGGGCGCCCTCGCTGGAGATGCATGCCGACGGTCTTGAAGCGCTCATTCAGACCGCGAATGAGGTTGAGGATGAGGGTGCGGTCGGTGACGACTTCACCTAAGTCACCAAGCGTGTCCGCCATGCGCTTGAGCTCCTTGCAGTAATTGGTGATGAACAGATCACCTTGAACGAAGTTGCGGAGCTTTGCGTCGAGGAGGAGGGCGCGTGTCTCGCGGTTATTGAAGAACTGGGACTCCACAGCGCGCTAAGTGCCGCGGGCAGTGGAGTTGCGCGCTGAGATCGTCGCGGCGAGGTCGTCGGAGATGGTGCAGAGGATCCATGACTTGACAACGCAATCCATGCGCTGCCAGTCAGGGAAACCAGGCGTCGGTAAGTCCTGCAGGACATGGTGTTGAAGGGAATACTTCCCAACGATGAGGAGGAACTGATCGAGCCACCGATTGAAATTGCCGGCGTTGAGGTCGAGAACAACCGTGACAAGATTGCGGATGCTCTGGACCGCAACAGCCTGGGAGTGGAGGTTGGCGATTGCAGCAACCTCTTGCAGAAGGAGGGCTTGATGCAGATCGGTGTTGTCGTTGTGGTCGGAGGCGTGATTAGAGAGGTCGTCCTCATCATCCCTCGTCCGCGGGAGCGCCAGCGGCGGCGCGTTCCTGCTCGGCGCGTGCCAGGGCGTCGCGAGCGCGGGCGGCGGCAACGTCGCGCTCCAAAGTGGCGGCCTAGGCTTCCTTCTCAGCTGCGGCGGCGCGCGTGAGGGCGGCATCGCGCTCAGCCTTCCGATTGGCTACGCGCAGGCGCGCAGCGTCATCGGCATCGACAGCAGCTTTGGCGGCGGCAGCAGCCTTGGCCTGGGCATCGGAGTCCAGGCTGGATACCATGGGGACGGCAGCCTTGGAGGCGGCGGCGGGCGGCGGCTGCCGATTTGGGAGAGGGGGGAGGAGTCCCAGGCATCACAGCACAGGGAAGCCGACGCAGATGGGTGGGAGGAGCGCAGCCGAGGGGAGGGCGCGCTGGGGAGGAGCACAGCCGAGGGGAAAAGGCGCACTAGGGCAGCGGAGGTAGAATCGGGGGGAATACCCAGACTCGTGATACCATGAAAGAAGAGATGTCTCGGGAAAACTCAGTAGATTGATTATGGAGGTACCAAATGAGTACAATATATAGGCAAGGATTGTCAAGGGTTTATAGAAACACCCAATCAACGGTGATCCTTGCCTAAACCAAGATCATCTACCATAAAAACCCCAAGGGGCGCCTACAGCCCAAGCCCAGGGCGTCACAACCCATACAGCAATGCTAATAGCCCATAATATAGCAGTCTAACAAGCTTGCACAATTAAAATCTGATAATCCTGTTTATGTTAGGTTACTTAATCATGCTTTTGACCTCTTATTCAATCTTAGGTCATGGAAGACCAAGCACAGTCTCATGACCCAAGGAGGCTCTTTTACTCAGACATGAAGGATGACAATTTACTAGACTGCATTGTTTCTAAAGTTACCATTGTGCCAGTTTCTCTAAGTGTAGGAACTTTCAATTATACATTTTCTTGTATTGGTTTAATGATACTTCTTTGTGTGAAAAGTAGATTTTCAATTTTTGCTACAGCTAAATGAAAAGTCTTGGTCAATTCCTTCATTCCACTATTACTATGACATGAAGTACTCTCTGGACTATAGTACATTTTCTACCATGGAAATGGGTAAGTCCTCTTAAAACACAGTGGTTCGCATGTGATGTCAAATTCTTCGCAATATTGGTGAATCAATCAATCATCACTTGGATTTGAGATCTACTCTTCACATTTATAATTTATAATTTATATTGAAGCGCCTTTCTCTTATTATTTTTCTATCATGTTGATCATACTTTAATTCTAATGTGTATTATCTTGTAGTCTGTAATTGTTATAGCTTTTGTTCTGTTATGTATTTTGATAATATTATGAGCTTATTAGCCTAACTTAAGGTTTATAAAATGCAGGAGATCCAAATGACACGTTACATTCACATTACACTAGTAGCAACAATGTGAAAAGGAATGATTTCACTGAAAAGCAGAAGTCTCCCACACCAGAGATGAGGGAGCTTTCCCTGTTAGATCTGTATTGTGGTTGTGGGGGAATGTCTACTGGTCTTTGTCTTGGGGCTCGTGTTGGTGGTGTGAATCTTGTAGCGGTACTTATATGCTAACATATTAGATGTGCTATGGCTTTTTATTGCTTAGTATAGTAATTTATTTTTTTAATGATTTCCTTACCATTAGTAGAGATGGGCTGTTGATGGCGATGAAGTGGCATGTGAAAGCTTCAGGCTAAATCATCCAGGAACTCGGGTACTGACCTTCGTGCTTTATGTTATTCCAGGGGTGGACCCAGCAGCAAACTGGGGGGGGGTGCTTCTTCCTTCCTCAACTCCTCTCTTCCTTCTTCTGCCCTCACATCCTCCTCCCCTATCTTCCTCTTAGTTTAATTGGATCTGCTGCTGTGTTATTCCAATATAGTTCCCAAATGTCAGTTCTGGCTCACTTATGCACATCTACTCATTGCATAGGTCCGAAACGAAACCACCAACGATTTCCTTGAGTTGTTGAAGGAATGGGATAAGCTATGCAAAACCTATGTGAAGCCCTGCAGTAAAGTAAAGTCTCATTCCAACGTTCCAACACAATCCAGTAATGGAACTCCAGATTGTTCTACATTTTCTACTGAAGAATTCGAAGTATGGAAGCTAGTTGATATTTGCTTCGGTGATCCAAATGGTGTCAGAAAGCGTGGCTTATACTTGAAGGTTTGTGATGGTTTGCTTGCTTTATAGTCTTGTAGTTACAGAGTACCAACTTAATTACTTGTCAGATCATAACGTGGTAATGGGAATTTGCCCTTCTACTCTTTACAGGTTAATGATATAACTCAATGCTGTTAAATACGTAAACAATTTCCTTGTTATTTGATCCAATAATTAGTTTGGCTCTATTGCCTCATCTCTGGTGCAGGCTGTATGTTTACAAATTACATGTGCATATCATTGGTTTTCCATTGATCGTTGTATTGATCTGTACTGAAACAATTGTGATATCATATGTGTAGGTCCGCTGGAAAGGTTATGGCCCTAATGATGACACATGGGAGCCAATGGAAGGGTTAAAGTAAGAATAAAAGGTTTTAAAACTTACCAATTTCACCATGATTTGAACAATTTGGCTTTTGCAGGAACTGCAAAGATGCAATTAGGGATTTTGTTATTGAAGGGCATAAGAAAAAGATCTTACCAATTCCTGTAAGTGTTATTCATGCTTGAGTTTAGTATGAATCTCAGCCAAGAGCATATGATGTTAGCTTGTCAACTGAACTCTACATCCTCTCCAAGCTGAAAAAAAGAAAGGAAGGAAGAAAAGAAAAAAAAAGACATAACAGACTCTAGATTTAAAATATACTCTAATCTCAATTTGTCATAAATAGAGGTTAACAAATTAAATCAGGAGTAAGGTGAGCAATTTTGTAATAATGCAGAATTGTACTTTGTGACCATGCCCCACTCAGTGCTGTCATGGTTCTCTTAAAGGCTTGATGGCTTGTTTTCTTCATTTATGTGGAACTTTTGGCATTTGACAGCCACTTGCATATCTTAATGTTTTGATAGCATTAGTAAATGGTCATTTACTCAAAATTGTAGTTTAATTCTATTGATAACATTATGTGAATTTCTTTGACCAAAAATCATGACAAATAGTATATTTATGGTGACAAACTTTTATATGTGAACAAAAAAAATATCATATGTGGAAAACTGGAAGTCGCCTCCACGCATGTTGAAAGTAGATTAAAATAAATTAATAGCGAAGATGCAAGGCGAACTAATGGTAGCATGAATCCACATCTTTCTCCTTGCCAGCGCCACCTGCATCACCTTCTCCCTGGTTGCCCCTAGCGTATCCGACCATAGGATCCCTACTGCTGCTTCGGTGCCACCACCCACTTCTGAGGCAACCATGCCTACAGATTATTTAGAGCCACAGGGGGGGGGGTTGTGCTGATGTTATCAAGCTGCCAACATGCTGCTTCCTGCATGGAAGTAATACTCCTTACATAAATAGTTTTTCTTATTAATACTGGTTATTTAATGTGGCCGTTGTGGTATTGTTGTGACTTGCTACAATTACTCAACACTTCTGATATCTTGTATGAATTCAGGGTGATGTGGATGTCATATGTGGAGGACCACCATGCCAAGGCATTAGTGGCTACAACCGCAATAGAGAATTTGATGCACCATTCAACTGTGAGAGAAATAAGCAGATCATTGTCTTCATGGATGTAATACAATTTTTGAAGCCCAAATACATTTATATGGAAAATGTCCTTGATATACTGAAGTTTGCTGATGCAACACTTGCAAGATATGCTCTAAGTCGGCTAGTTGCTATGCATTATCAAGCAAAACTAGGGATCATGGCTGCTGGATGTTATGGCCTCCCACAATTCCGAATGCGTGTCTTTTTGGTGGGCTGTCATCCAAAGGAGGCAAGTAATAGTTCCCCTGTATTATGAAGTCACTTTCTTCTGTTTTCCCCTTATTTCTATACCTCTACCCTGTAGAAATTACCCCCATTTCCTCTGCCTACTCATGAGGCAATTGTGAAGAATGGTTGCCCCTTGGCTTTTGAGGTAAATATGACCTGCTTTACTTGATCGATCTAAGGGTTGGCTTATTTCTGCTCTGGACATCCATTTCTATTGAAAATTCATTTCCTACTTGATCTGTTTATTATAGCCTACTTCTTTCTGCTAATGTTTTCCCCTAATACTGAGAATTAGTATATCTGGTGAATTAACAATACCATCATTATCTCTTTCATAGCGTAATTTGGTTGGATGGCCCGACAGCATGCCAATGCAACTAGAAAAACCAATTGTTCTCGAAGATGCTCTATCTGATCTTCCAGAAGTAAGTAACAATCTTAAAGATTAGATTCCAGACCTATCTGTCCATGTTCTATCTTGCCTTGTCCACATCACCCAAAGGAAAAATAAATCAAGCAGGTAGGACTGGGGCATGGGGCTACACTATGTTCCAGCATGAAATGGTAGTTTACAGGGTACATTTGCTGACTTTGGGTTAGGTATAAGCAATTTTCACTTAATTTAACAGTCCTTTAATTCAGAAGCTGTTCTGTAAATCTTTTGTAGGTGGAGAATGGAGAAAAACGAGAAGAAATGCTATATGTGAAGGGACCTCAAACGGAATTCCAAAGATATATTCGGTCATTTAATTCTGGTGTGTTGATTGCTTACATTGGTGTGGAAAGGACTTGGATTTTCTTTTTATGCGGTGTCATTGAATAATAGGTTCTGATGGCTAGAATATTTATTTTGTACACGAGTAATATTAAGATGACGGTTTCCATTTTTGAGGGACAATAAATTAGCTTGTATGCTTTTCTAATGGTATTTTGCATTTACTAAAATTGTTTTGAAGATAACCTATTTACTATAAATGGTAGGAATTTGTTTAATAAAATATGTATAAATTCATAAATATAGTTGAAAAAGAAACCGGAAACAACATGCATGAGATATGCCCTCAGTTCTAAGTGCTTGTTACTGTGACCATATATCAAGGAAATCAAACTTTGCCAAAAGTGTTACCAAAATCTTCTTTGTTAATATTCAATTTGGGTTTTTACGAAATTTTTCCTTGGGATTGATAAAGTGCTAAGAGGAGAAACTTTAGTCAAAAGTGTCGAAATTTTGGAAAAAGAAAGATATAATGACTCCTTTTCTTTCTATTTTTTTGTGACCACTGCTATTTTCAACTTCAGTGACCATGTTTGTCGGCATTACTTCATCATAGCTATGGTGCAAAACTCACAATGAAATCGTGTTTCTTCCATGCCCAGAAGTGATTGGATCCAAAGCTCATGTCACAAAAGTTTCTAAGTCAAAATTGTATGACCATCGACCAAGGGCACTGGATGATGATAACTACTTAAGAGTACTGCAGATTCCCAAGAAAAAGGTTGTCTAAGATGCTTGTATGAACATAATTCAACTCTGGGTTTGAGAAATCTCTACAATCTCATCAGTCTTTTTTTCAGGGAGCTAATTTTAGAGACCTTCCAGGAGTCATAGTAGGTCCTGACAACATAGCTAGATTAGATCCAACTAAGGAGAGAATACTATTGCCATCTGGTAATCCTCTGGTAAGATGCTCGTGAGAAAACACCCCTGAGATGCACTATACTTTTCTTTACATGTAAATTTTGATAAATTTCCCTTGTACATTAGGTGATTGATTGTGTCCTAACCTACGAGAATGGTAAATCCTTAAGGTTAGTTTCATGGATTTCAATTTATATTATATGCCTGTTTCCACATTCATATTTTAGTGGTTCCCTTTTGTAATATGTTGCAGACCATATGGTAGACTCTGGTGGGATGAGGTAGTGGGAACTGTGCTGACATGTCCAAATGCTCGCATTCAGGTGAGCTGTAACTCTGACATCCCCCCCTCTCCCCTCTTTCATTTTGCTTATGATTTCAAAATATAACCCTTACACATTACTGTCAGGCCTTAATACATCCTGCACAAGACAGACTGCTAACTATTCGTGAAAGCGCTCGTTTGCAAGGTTTTCCTGACAGCTTCAGGTTTCGTGGAACAGTCAAAGACAGGTATTTTTGGTTGGGCTTTGCTGTGGTACTCTCAAATGAATGTAAGCCATTTATTTAATTAGATCGGGTGGTTAGGATCAATTACTTCGTAGGAGGTAATATGTGAAATATATATTTATTTAATTTTTAATTTTGCAAAATAGGATAAATAAGAAAAGTTATAGATATATTTTTTTGCTAGATCTAATTGATACATGCGTGATCTATTGGATATGGTAAATATTTTTATTTTGTAACTTTGGAGTTTGGACATGACATAATTTGATTAGCATAAACTGTCATGACAGATATATACATGAAATAATTTGATTAGCATCTAACTTTTCATTCACACCGCCATGACAGCTTCGTACCTAAAATAATTTGATTAGCATGTAACTTTCCGTTCCCACCATAATTTGATTTAGCATGTAACTTTCAATTCCCGCTGTATGTGACTGCCCAGACCGTGCGCGCCAGCCGCTGCCCATGTTGCGCTATGCGCCACGCACGGCACGAACGGAAAAAGAGAGGCCTCTGTTTCTGTGTTCTGTGATTATGGGATTTGGGAATTTTTTTTCTTTTCTTAGTTTTTTTAATTAATTAATTTATAAAATGTAATAAATCGATGGCTCAAATTGCTTTGACCTATTACGGAGGTAACTGGAATACCATAGCATTGCCCATTTTGTTTTTCAGTTGTTCAGTAAGTAGATTAAGTTATAATGTGATGAACCTGGTTGCAGATACCGCCAGATTGGAAATGCAGTGGCTGTACCTGTCGGTCGTGCACTTGGGTATGCCCTGGCCATGGCCTATCTGAACAAGACTGGAGATGACCCTCTCATGGTGCTTCCACCCAAGTTTGCATTCTCTCATGATGTACAAGGTCTTTCAAGTGTGAACGGTCTTCATGGCAGGCCCATTGGTTGAAGAGTTCATTTCCAGTCATGCTCCGGTTGGAAAGCTGCTAGTCATGCTTTGTGAATATCAATAGGACGTATATTCATTTATCTGCGGGAGTCAGATAGGAGTCTGGGTTCCCCAGTTAGATGTTCCCCAATCAAATGGTTTATCCCTTCTGTTGTTCAGTCTCATTCATTTGATGGCATGTTGTAAGTTGTATCATTCATTGTACTAACTTATCAGAAGCTTAGATCGGAAGGTGAAGGGTCCTAGAACGAGGGCCCCCTGGGACCATTGTTGTTCAAAAAATCAAAAGGTGTAGTGTAACTGTGGGTATATCAGGGAAACAAAATGTTGTACATCATCTGATTTGCTGTATTAGGCTAGTGAGTCGACATAAGCATAGTAGCTTCAGTAAATCTTTTTTTTTGTTCTAGACTCTAGAGCTACAATGCAATAAATTCGTTCAGTCGCATATTCGTATCGCCAATCTGATTTTTCAAAAAGGTTAATAATTTGACATTTTATGGAATTTCTCGAAAAGGATCACACATGTTATACAGGCTAGGCTTGCTGTGAAACTACCACCACGAATATGTACCTCTATGCTATTAGCTTCTCTTATTTTTCTATAATATAACTATATAAATTATAAGGTATTGTGATTTAATAAAGTTGAATCTTCAAACTTTTGCATATTTACAACGATGTATTAATGGATTCACATTTCACAAATGTTTTATTGTTTTGTTTAAGAAAACAAATATTTTATTGTGATATTAATCTCCACGATTTTTTAAAAGATCTGTTTATTCACATTTCATAGTATTCGGCTCGTTAGGCTGCTCTACTCTCGGCTGGTCTGTAGACGCAAGTCAGTGTTGCTACAGTGCTCAAAGCAGCCGCTGCGTCTGGCTTCTGGAGCAGCCGAACGAGCCGAATACAATTTGTTGTTGTTTGGTTTATTTAGATAGGAAGATATATAGTGTGATTGGTTACTGTGTCTTGTGCTGCAGAGTAAGAGCAGAAGGAAGAGTGCATAGCTCGATATATAGAATTTGGCTGAATTGTAAGATGTAGACTGAGCTTGCTTAGAGCATCTCCAAAAGATTAACAAAAAGATTAGCCAAATTTATTGATTTAGCTACTCTCTAAAATAAATTTGACAAGAGTACTCCAACAAAATCTGTAAAACCAAGAGGCTGGATGGCTAGTGAGGTAGGCTATCCAAAAGTAGAGCGAATGAGGTAGGATAGAGAGCTACTAAATTTAGAGAGTCATTTACAGAGTTTGTTGGAGACGTTTTTCTTAAGCATAATAGACAAATTTATCTTTAGAAAATGATTTGGCTAATCTCCTGGAGATGCTCTAGCTATGCAAGATTTGACTTAATTGTAGGATGCAAGCTATATTTGCTTTTGAGGATAGTGCTAGCCTATATATAGGCTTCTACAGGTAACTAAACAGGACGAACTGCACTTAGGAAACGGTAAGAGATTGTGCAGGCAACCAAACCGACCCTTCCTGTATTGTTTTATTCACAAGCATGAGAGGGGGGGTGACGGTGGATTGGTCTCGATCTTTTAGTGCGGACAAATTATTTGAATGGTGGACGGAGTTCATATTGGTGGCTTGACTACAATCGTCAAAGTGTGCTGCGCCTTAGCGAGTGGTACAACGACTCCAATGATTGCTTATGATCTTGTGGGGCGTGATAATTTTTTTCTTAAACATTGCTGGGAACTGTGTTGCATGTAGTTTGGAAGTCAAACTAAGTCAACCTTCCACCTCACTTACCTTGTTTAAAAAAACAAACCCCAAAAATTATTTGCAAAATAAATAAAATCCTCTAAAGGTGTTGGTTGACTCTTGGTAATATTTTCCCTTCTTTGCAACCCCAAGAGGGGGTTTTGAATTAAGCTTCTTAAAACTCTACTTGGCCTCTAATTCTACGTACTTATCAAAACCTATGCAAAATTTCTATCTAAATGTGTACTACAGTAAAAAGTGTTATGCAACCTAGGTTCTAATCCTATTAACTAGCATGGCAAGCTAAACTAGGAAAGATAACCACATAACCTAGAAAAGTTATGTAAGTGCGGAAGCTTAAATGGGTTAGAGATATAAACTCCCATTGATGATGGTATTTTTTTGAGATATCGAGAAGTTCACGCTTACCCCTAGTTCTTATTGGAGCCCTCACAAAGATGTCTCGCAAGGGGTTCCTAGTCATGTAAGTTCGTGGATAGCTTTGGTCTCTATGTGGCATTCTCCCATATACCACTCACCACCGTCTTCACTATTGAGCTTCCAGCTCAAGCGCTGTGGGCCTCGTTTTCTCTGGCACAAGCTAGGCAGTCACACCATAAACATGGTTGGTGTGATGTCATAAGATTATAAGTTCCTAGTGTACAACAATGATGCGCGTAAGCACTGAGTGAAAAAGCGGTAAGCAAACCTCACAAAACACTAAACCTAAGATTAGAGCAAAGCGTCAATTGTGTGATCTAACTAGTCTAGGCACTTCGCTAAACACATAAATTTCCTTGAGAAAATTCCTTATTTAGCTTCGGAAAATGTGGTGATCCTTATTTAGCACTCAAAGATAAAAAATCTTATAGCGTTGACTTCATTTTTGGTGCCCAAAATAACATCGCTGTTAGTTCTAGCCACTAACACCGTTAAATGGCAGCAGCAAAGACCGTTTTACCCTATTGTCACATAGAGTTGGCAATTGACGTTGTAAGTTTTGTGGTAGCAAATGACATGCGTATTGGTAAGCACCAGTGCCACCATACAGTGTTGGTTTTTTTATGACACTACAATTATCTACTGCACACAAAAAACACAAAAGATCACATCTATTTTTTTGAATCGACTCGAGAATCGAGATGCATATGCATTATGAAAAGATCACATCTACTTTTTTTAACTCAATTTTTTTACTCGAAAAGGCATCACATATATTGACTATATCTTGTGAGTCCAATAGCTATGCATTTTTTTTTAGAAAAATGGACAGTGCATATCCGTGCACACAAGGAGAGATTGAGGACGCACGTATATGTATAATAAAATAATATAATTACTTGGCATTAACCATCCTTAACAACGGGACCGAGGGCAGATATGATTATGACGGCCATGATGTAAATAAGTTAATAAGCAATCAAATTAACTACTTGACAGTCTCAATCAACGGGGCCATGCAAAATTATACGTGAAATGGTAAATCTATGATCGGCAAGTTTTTTTTTTCTATTTGTCCTTGGCAAATCTCCACTCCTGTCAGATTGTGGCTGCAGCCGCTCGCCTGGCCGCCCGCGCGAGCCTATGCTCAGGCCGCTGCCGGTGCCACGCGAGGCGGCGGTCGGGCCGCCGCCGTGGCTGCGCAAGCCAGCGCTCGGGCCCTCACTGAGGACGCGCAGGCCTGCGCTCGAGCTGCCGCGTGGCCTGTGCTCGGGCCGCCGCCAGGTCCGCGCGGGGAGCCGCTTCATGGGCCACCCTGCCGAATCTGCGCCCAAAGAAACGACCGTACCTCGTGGATCTGTTTGCGCCAAATTGACGGGGACCGGATCCTCGTCCGACCCCATGTCGCCGTGCGCTAGGAAGATGCACCCACAGTCCCCACTGTCGGCCTTCTCTGAGATTGGAAAGGGAGAACGAGAGGCAAACAACAGAGGTAGGCACGGTGTACGTGACTGTGGCCTAAGTGTGAGTAAGGGTATTTTGGTCCAGCCCTCATATTTCTGACAAGCACACAGCGGTGTATGCTAACAGAAATGATGGGAGTGCTATTTTTTTTAAAAAGGAAATATATATTGATATCTAAATTAGGTAAGATAAAATTGATTGGAAAGCCCAAAATTAGACCAAAGCAATTACGTCTGCTAGAATAACAAAAAAGCGCTTCTGAATTGATCTCATCCTTTATATAATATAATTTTTCTTTGTTCGGTAATAACTTAATATTGGAATAAATCACTCATTATAGCAATTAATAAATGGAAAGAGTTTGTACATCGACCAATGTATATAGTTGTTCCTTATTACAAACACAAGTAGTGCGGTCTACGGAATCTCAAAAACAAAGTTTTGAGTCAAAGTGAATAAAAGAAACGTTTCCAAAAACGGTATCTATAAAGCAATTCTATTGCTAAATCTCCAACCGTGTCTTGCAAACACCTTCATTGTAGTTGTCTTAATATTCCTGCATCCCATATTCGTCATTTGACGATCCTTCCCTTTCCGTAACAGAGACCAGGACCTGGTTCAGTAGGTCCCCTGAAGATAACATGTAAATAAGATGGTGCTGGGACCTTGTTAAAAACTTTATCATTCCGGGTTAACCATATCGCCGAACAAATTGTACTTGCACCCACAAGAATTTGAGATTTCAAATTCCTATTTATCCCATCTAGCCAGCCTGTAAACAAATTGTGTACGCTAGTTGGAGGTATTAAATTAAAGAAAACATGAACAGTTCGCTACATGAATTTAGCAAAATGACAGTCAAAGAGTAAATGTTGTATGGACTAAGAATAGAAACAACATTTCCTATCACCTTGCCACTGCCGCCTTGCTAAATTATTCTTTTGTTAAGATTACTCCCTTATATGAATGCCACATAAATACTTTGATTTTGAGAGGTAGTTTCAGTTTCCAGATTAATATGTTATATGGTATAGCTTCGGCTCCTAATAAGGCTATGTACATGGATTTGACTGAAAACAACCCATTCTGATGTAGCCCCCCACACAAAGCGATCCCTCTGGTTTGTTAACTATACATTTGCAACCATAGCGACCACATTGTGCCATGCTTGAAAATTAACACCTACTAGAGATCTCCTTAAAGCCATATTTAATGGCGTCATAGACAACACCGTTCTTACAGGTGTGCCTTTTCTCCTAACAATATTATATAGTGTAGGAAAGATAGGTTTTAATGGACGTGGTCTTATCCACGAGTCCTCCCAAAATTGCACTTGAGACCCGTCACCTAGATTAAACTTGCCCAAAGAGAGG